CTTCTGCCTCAGCCTCCTAAGTAGCTGGGACCACAGGCGCCCGCCACAGCGCCCAGCTATTTTTTGGTTGCAGCCATCATTGTTGTTTTGGCAGGCCCAGGCTGGATTCGAACCTGCCACCTTCGGTGTATGTGGCTGGTGCCTTAGCCTAAAATCTTATTTTAGTGGCTATAATCCTAGCACTTGGGAGGCTGAGGCAAGTGAATTACCTGAGCTCACAGCTCACCAGGCTGAGCCAGAGCGAGAACTTCTCTCTAAAAATAATAGCCGGGCATTGTGGTGGATACCTGTAGTCCCTGCTACTCAGGAGGCTGAGGCAAGAGAATTGCTTGAGCCCAAGAGTTTGAGGTTGGTGTGAGCTATGACACCACAGCACTCTACCAAAGGGGGACAAACTGAGACTGATTAAAAAAAAAACAACTTATTTTAGAGGCAGAGCATTACTCTTGCTAGGCTAGAGGGCAGTGGGGCAATCCTTGGTCCCTGCAACCTCATTCTCCTGGGCTCAAGTGATCCTCCCATTTCAGGCTCCTGAGTAGCTGGGACGCCAGGCATGAGCCCAGCTCAAAGGTCATTTTGCCAGCTTTACAGTCTTAGGACTGGACTTCTTGTCATTTCCCTTGGATGCCAGAACGAATGTTGCTCGGGTTTCCATGCACTGGGGATAATTAAAAACAGATGTCCTCCAGCAGAACTTTAAAAAATACTGCATTGTGGGCAGCACCTATGGCTCACAGAAGTAGGGTGCTGGCCCCATATGCCAGAGGTGGCGGGTTCAAACCCAGTCCCAGCCAAAAAAAACCCCAAAAAACAAAAAACTGTGAACAAACAAACAAACAAAAAATACTGCATTGTATTCCTAAGTAGATAACTGTTTAAACTCTCTCACACATACACAGAGTGGTGGGAAAATTGTGGAGTCACAGTCCACAATGATGTCCTGAATTAAAAGAGATTTTTTTTTTTTTTAGTCTCATGTTGTCACTCTCTGTAGAATGCCATAGCATCATAGCTCACAGCAACCTCAAACTCTTGGGCTCAAGTGATTCTCTTGTCTTAGCCTCCTGAGTAGCTCAAAGTACAGGCACCCTCAACAATGCCCTGTTATTTTTAGAGATGAGGTCTCACTCTGGCTAAGGCTGGTCTCGAACCTGTGAGCTCAGGCAATCTACCCACCTCGGGTTCCCAGAGTGCTAGGATTAGAGGCATAAGCCACCTCACCCAGCCTAAAAGAGATCTTTATTTGACACTGGGATGTATTATTTAGAGAATAGAAAAGTGACTTTTTAAGTCTGTGGGCACAGCTTCTGCATCCATCTTCTTCTGTCCAGCAGGAACAGTCTCACTCACTGGCGCTTTGGGGAAGGCCTGGGCTGGGGGGCTGCTGGAGGGCCTGATTTGGGCCCTGAGCCCATGCACTGAGAAGACCAAGTGCCCCTGCACTTTGTGTGTGTTTGCACATATGTGTGAGGAGTTTGTGTCTGAGTATATGTGTGAACATGTTTGTGTGTATGTGCTTGAGTATGAGGTTATTTTTTTTTCTTTTTTTTTTTTTTTTTTTG